TCTTACCAAGAAGTGCTACTATTATCTCTTTTCATATTTGGCGCATTTTATTCTATTTAAAATTCGGAACTCTCGGATTTCAGCAAATGTAAAGCCCCGAGACAAACTGAGCGACTCTGAGTCACGTGACGTTACTTTCCTTTTCTGGAGAAGCCAAGGAGCTGTCGATTTTGGATGTTTACGCGATAAATTGAGCAAGACTGTAAATGTAGACGAACAAAGATTAAACATGCAAGTAAGACCCTCAAGCAAAAACATTTATTAAGGGATATGAACCGGCTCGTATGTCTAGTTTAACAATTTAAGCGAGAAAATAGCTGATGAAGCGAGGTGGTATCCAAAATGGCGCCCTCCCTTGTGTTTTATTCTCCGAGGTACTAATTTTTTTAACTGATTTATTTTCTCTACACAAGCCCCTGTGTATGAACTGTCTACAGTAAAATAAAAAACGTATTCATTTAGACTCTGCTCTGATAATTACTCGTGCAGTTAAGCACTAAAAATCTGTAATCATGTAAAATAAGGAGAAAAACATTACATGCAGTATACATGAAGATTTCCACTGAACAGACAGAGATGATAATCTGACTAACAAGTTTGGCTTTCCAGAAAGCCTGAAATGTCATCTCTTTGGGCTTCATTTATGTCACAGAATAAACAGTTAATTAAATGTAACTTTTTTTCAGCACTGTCAAGTTTAAATAAATGGAGAGGTACCCTCTCTGGTGACACGTGTCTGTAATTCTAAATTTATGTGAAAAAATGTTTTAATTTATTATTACAATTTTTTTTTGTTTAACGTATTTAGAAATTGTTATTGTACAACTAAGCAGTATTCAAAAATCTGTAAGCATTTTTTTTTTTTACAAAAACCTTAGCGTTCCTTTTGACCTTACATATATATATACGTATTTCACAGCTTCTTACTCTGACAGCAGACAAAAGCGCTAACTTTATAATTCAGACCCTTTCCTTTCCAAAGATTTTCCTTAATCTTCTCAATTCTTTAAGTGACATGCCCATCGAACACCCATGGGATATAAAGGGGAAAATGAACTAAACTTACACAAAAACTAGAGGTACTGTGAGCGATGAGCTCACTAAATGATACCCCCCGCCTCCCATATGGTTATAACTGGTGAAATAGTCCATCTTTTCCTGTGGCCGGGAAACCCAAAATATCTGTCAGATTAAAAAGTAAAATAGGAGGTGCACAATGGCAATATGTAATAAAGATTCTGTGAAAGTTTCATCAAATTTCATTCAGTGGTATGAGAGGAGTTGCGGATAAGAGATGGGTACCCCAAAGCGTAACAGACGGACGGACAGACGGACGGACGGACGGACGGACGGACGTACAGACGGACGGACGGACGGACGGAAATACCGATTACTATATACCCCCACTTTTCAAGCGGGGGGTATAAAAAGTTTACTATTCAGAATTTTAACATTTAACAGCACTGGCTAATTTGAGGGGGGGGGGGGGGGGACAGGTTCGCCCTTTTTGTGTCCAAAATATACATAAGATTTCATAATTCATTTTTTGTGTGAGGCTGTAGGCCCCTACCCTGAACCCCCCTTTTCAAGATTCCTGTATCCGCCACTGTTAACGCTTTATAAAACATAAGCACATGCACAAGGCCCTGTCGAAATATAGCATAGGATAGAGAAAACTGCCATCAACGTAATTAACTTGAAAGCACATACAATATCAAATCTACTTTTACACACTTTTATATAGCTTATCCAAAGAAATAACGCCCACATGTTTTTAAATACAGGTAAGTAATAACATTTAACATAAAATTAAGCATTTATAAATTAAGTGAAAAAAGAGTCCTAATTTGCCAACTCTGAACTTAGGCTGTTTTAGGAATACAGTGTTGTGTCATTATAGTGTCAGATCGTCAAAATTCACGTGCAATGCGTTTATTTCTGTGTTTTGTTTTAGAAAACTTTATCTGCATATACTATAAATAAACAATTACTTTTGTAAATGTTAAAATAAATTTGATTTTGGTTTTTTTTGTGAATTCTTGGATACACGCCTCGGCTGCAGAGGATATTTACACACGCGCTGACCTAGTTAGAAGATTCTATCTTGTTCTGACCATCATTTACGTAATAGCCAAGAAGACTACCGGGGTATATATAAGAACATACAGTGTATATTTTGAAGACTCCGCAATCCAGGCGATTGTGTGTGTCTAACTCTCTCTGATTTATGTGCAGCTTGTTTTCTTTATCGATAGAAATAAAGTAGATCGCTCATTGTTTACATCTCTATATTTAGAAAATAGCATCAACTCAGTGCTCCTTGGGTGACCTCGCACTTTTTGTATGGAGAGCAGTGGATTCAGCCGAGGATTGCCGACTGTTAAATGGCAGCTTACACTGGGACTTCGCATCCGGAAATCAAACTTAATGTGTGTCATCTCTCGAGAGAGATGACAATAAGCATCGTACTTCTTTTCTAAATTTTTTTCTTGGCTTTCAAATAGGCCAAAACCAAAAGTAGATCACACACTTCTAAGCTAGTTCTTCTAAAAGAAAACCAGTTTACAGGCTACTTGGAAGTCCTTGTGTTGATTCTCACTTGAGATATTGTAAAACATCGAGGATTCCCGAAATATTAATGGAGGCTTACACTAGGACTTCACTTTCGGAATACAATCTTAATGTGTCATCTCCCGAGGGAGATGACAATAAAAAATCAACTCACACGCTGAATATAAACCGCCAGCCGAATTTCTAGCAAATAATAATGTGCTAACTTCAGTAGAGTTATTACCTTATTCTGAGGTACATATAAAAAAAAATGAAAATTTAAAAAAAAAAACAGTTTGCCAAAACAATATAGATATTGAAGTTTGTTATACCGCCATCCCCTTTCTAGAAAGCAATACGAATTAGCTGGTTAATGCCCCAGTCACACATTCACGGATTAAATGCCAGATTAGCTACGGAAGCGATCCGGCATCATTCGTGGCGATATGTATTGACCCGTGGCTTTTCCGTCTGTTATCGTATCCAAACGTAACAATACTTGTATAGCTGAGACAATTTTTGAACATGTTCAAAATTCCACTACGGATGAAACCACCGTAGTACTTCCTTAGTAAAACTTACTAAACCGTTTTAGAACGTAGAAGTCAGTTTTAACTCCGTATAAATCCGTAGTAATTCGTATGTATCAATTTGTCAAGGATTGTTTCGATTTGATACGGAGAGCTACGTGATTATACGGTTCTAGTACGTATTTACTACGGATAAGAAGAGTTTGCTGAGATCTTTTTACGGTGCGACACGGGCCAATTACGTTTTATTACGAATAACAAAGGAATCTTAAGATTTATTACGTTTTTATACGTTTTATAGCGACACTGTACGGAGTACGAAGGCACAAGGCAAAATTCTAGGATAAAGCGTTGCCATGCTTGCCATGCTTATCATTTTAATGTCAGTCATTCAGCTGACATTTATAAACCCTATAAAAACTGTGTGTCTGACCATCAGTAGCAAAATTTTTATCAAACATGAATAATCAACAACTGATGCTTGCTTTGGAAATGCTAGAACTAGACATTGACATTTCACAAAATGCCAGGGCAATGATTCAGGCCATCCAAGACCAGAGACGTGATCGAAGGCAGCGGAGATGGTGGACGAGAGATTGGCTTCTCCGAAGACCTATCCATGGCCAGTATGAAGCCTTAATGTCCGAGATGTATGCAGAAGATCCATCTGTATATAGGAATTTTGTACGAGTGGACCCTCTTATGTTTCAAGAACTGTTACACATGGTTACTCCAAAGATTAACAAGCGCAACACTTGGTACAGGAAATCTATTGACCCTGGTTTGAGACTAGCAATTACTCTGAGGTACCTAGCTACGGGGGACAGCTACCACACACTGATGTATGGTTTCAGAGTTGCCCACAATACAATCTGTGGTATAGTAAGAGAGGTATGCGAGGCCATAGTGTCTGTTTATTCAGAAGACGTTCTCTTGACACCCACGGAACCTGAACAGTGGAAAGCTATAGCAGAACAGTTTGAGGCTAAGTGGCAGTTCCCCCACACACTAGGTGCTCTCGACGGAAAACATGTACCCATTAGGTGTCCAAAAAATGGAGGATCGTTGTATTATAACTATAAAGGTTACCACTATATTGTACTGATGGCTCTAGTTGTCGCTGACTACAAGTTCCGATGGGTTAATATTGGCGCTCAAGGTGGATTTTCGGACGCCCAGATTTGGAACCAGAGTGATCTTAAACAAGCGATTGAAAGAGTATTAATAGGACTGCCAACAGCGACCCCTTTTCCCGGTGATGATAAACCCATTGGCTACTATATTATCGCAGATGATGCTTTTGGTATGAGGACCTGGCTTATGAAACCTTTCTCTAGACGAGGTCTTTCTTATGACGAGAGGATTTTCACTATCGGTTATCTAGAAGTAGAAGAGTTGTTGAAAATGCGTTTGGTATTCTAGAAATCGATTCAGATGTTTACTGTCAGTCAAGAATCAGGAGTTGTGAAAATGCCTGCGTGTGCCTTCATAACATCATGAGAATGAGATACCCTGGGGACCAGAACCTTCTATCAGGTAATTCCTGGGGCATGGAGAGATGTTTACTATACAGATTACCAGGGGTGGAAATATGGACACATTTGACGCTAAACAGCAGAGGCTTTATATAAAACATTACCTTAATTCCCCAGTCGGGTCTGTTCCATGGCAACAAGATGATATAATGACTGTTCTAAAGTATTGTTAAAAAGTCAGAAATAATCAATGGATTATTACAACTTTCTTATCATTAAAACATAATTTGGTCATTGCTTGCTTATTAATTTGAGTGTAGAAATAGTAAATATTTGTCAATAGCACGCTTTGCATTCTCAAAGTTGAAGTTATTAAAACAAATTAAAAATGGACTTTGAGATTTGAATGCCCCTTTTACTCTTTCGTTCTTACAACAATGTACCGGATTAAAAATATTTTAGACACATCAATGACGCTCTAGCTAAAAATTGATAGGTGAAAGTAAATAAGAACATGAAGTGTATAGAAAACTACAAAACCAAGACCAATCTATTTATTCATATGCCGAAACCAAATCTTTTGCATATAAACGGAACGACCCAGGTTTCATATTTTTGATTATTACATCATGTATTTGTGTATACAGCCTCATACAATTTGGAGTAATTTACTGAAAAATTTTGCGGAAACAGGCAAATAGCTAAACTAAAAGACAACAAACAATGATCGCCTTCCTCGTCCCAGGAAGGAAGATATGACAAAAAATAAGAAGAGCGCAAATAAAGAAAATACTAGTTATACAAGTTTCATCCATCGCCTGGTTTTTACTTTTTGCAATTATTACAAGATCTTTTTTTGGGGCATGGAGAGATGCGGCTAAAAGGAATTTTACGTTGAACTGGTGCACATCCACGGACTGTGCAATAATCGTGACAGATTACCGTAAAAGGGTATTAATCCTTACCTACACCGTAGCAAACTGTATTCATCCGTAGCGCAGTCGACTTGGCACTTGTCACTCCGTATGTCGTATTATTTCCGTATTAAAACTTTACCGTTTCAAACAGACACTAAATTTATCTTTTTTCTACCCTATTCTTGTAAGTACGTAACAATCCGTATCCATTCCGTAGTGCATCCGTACTAACTCCGTATCAATTAACGAATACTAAGTAACTTATCCGTGAATGTGTGAATAAAAGAGAAAAAAAATTATTAAAAGAATTATTTTTTTCTTAAAGGAAAGGATCCTCTTTCAAGCCATATTTTGTTTGTTAACCCCCCCCCCCCCCCCCCTTCTAGAAAGCTATATTGCATCAAAAGTCTGCGAAATTTAACGTTATTGTACATTTTTGAAAAAAGAAAAATGATAATATGCTTATTTATATCTACGAAGTAAATTTATAATGATGAATCATTGTTGTGGTGAAACCTGGAAGATGAGTTTCGCTAAATAATAGTTAAGTGGGATAATTATACACTTAATGGTGTGGTCAGAGCTAAAGAATTTGAAAGGTTTGTTAAACACATGGCGCCCCAGGCCCTCCGGCTGTGACCCAATAAATTTTTTAAACAGGTGTGAACTCGATCAGAAATTAAATAGCATCATAGATTGCCGATTAATTGTGAATTTGGTGATGCAAATAAAACGAAGAATTAAAAAAATAGTTTTTTTTAAACAGATTTTGTAACAAGGGGTTTGTATCTCTCTCTCTCTCTCTCTCTTTCTCTCTCTCTCTCTCTCTCATAACATTGTATTTACACACTTTACAAGAAAAGAATACTAAGTAACTTATTAGAATAAAGAGAAAAAAAATTATTAAAAGAATTACTTAACAGGGAAAGGATTACTAGTATCGGAAATTATTGTATTGATTTCGTGTTTCTGCTGCTGATTTTGGCATTTGAATTCAGAATAATTAAAAATGAACAAAATAAATGTATTTTACTCAGTAATATACTTAATTATGCTTGGATCTCATACATCATACATGCTAAAACCATGAAAATAAATGCAGCTGTCATTTATAATACGACATACTAGACTAAGTATGTAACACGAGTGCAGCGCGATGCTATTTAGTCTTTCTTCGTTACATGAGCACGTGCACATGAGATTAAATTATTCATTTAGAATTCCATTCATAATCTTGATGCAACATTTTTCATGTTGTGAAGTTTTCGAAAAATAATTATTTAAATTCAAAAAGAAATGCTTATATACTTTATGTAACATTTTCTTGAGAGCATATTTCTACAATAATTTCTATCTGTCAATTATATTTATTAAGTCAGCAACTACAGAGGGCACTTCATCAGATACTGATCAATCAATTCAAAACTAAAATTATTTTATATAATTTTTTCCCTTTCTAAAATGAATCCTCAGCATACGTAAAAAATACGCACGGAAATATTTACATGTTTTATTATATCAATACTGTATATATACATAATGCCAAAGATATCGGTGGGACAATGTTTTGTCTTTCATTTTTTTCATCCCCCCAATCACTGCTGCAGTGTAAATTTATAAAGACATACATGTAACATACAAGTCTATGATAAAAACAATTACATAATAAAAACATTTAAACTTCCTCAATAAACAGAAACTCATTGATACTTAAATTTATATGAAAAATAAATAAATTGCATTTGTTAATAACAGAAATATAATTAAGTACGTGCATAAAATTCTTCAAAAGTCGTTAACAATGGACTAAATTTTAGCAGCCAATCAAGGACTAAAGCTAACAGACTCCGTCCACTTCATTTGCATACCGTTCCCCAAAAGCGTACCGTTCACAAATAGAACCGTACCGTGCAAGAAACGAAATGTACCGTCCACAAAGCGTACCGTGCCGTTCTCAAAGCGAACCGTTCCGTTCACAAAGCGTACCGTACCGTTCACAAAGCGTATCTAACCGTACCGTTCAGGTGGTATAGTAGCACGGTTTAGGGTCTGTAAATAGTGAAAAGAAATTTCTTTGCTTCTTATTTAATGTGTTGTATCGTGGGTGTTAAATAAAGATGGCCATCAAGTTCAACTTCTACAGTTATGTATGACCTGTTGGATTAAAAAAACAATTACACATCCTGGCTTACAAAAAACACTGCCATTGTATGAAGAACAAAAATACACTGCCTTTATATGATGAACAAAATACAATATATAAAGGATACAAGACTCATATGATATACTATGAAAAAAATATTGGAGAGGACAATCTAAGTTTTTGGAATTTGTGTTCAATCCCTTTGACATATTGTCAATAAAATATGTTTAAAACAACAAACTACTTACTTGGAAAACAAAGGACAAGCTAGGGTAAGTCCGCTTTTTTGCCCCTGATTTTGGGTGTCTTTCAGAATGATGCAACAATTTATCCATAATAATAATTTATGGCACCTGATCCCACCTCTGATGTTTTGGAGATCCGTGTTTGCTCTGCTCCTATTTGCATTGTTTTATGGACTTTTGATCTTGCATGAATACTGTTCGTTATTTTCAAATGTTTCATCCGTAAAAACCTGTGTCACTCCTGCCACAAAACGAGTATTGGTTCTAAGTTTTGGAATTAACAGACGTCACAGAGAGAGGTCAGAAAATAGGTCAATTTTCGAATTTTCTCATTTTTATGCAGACTGTCATCGATTTTACAGCACATTTTGTTTCGGAAAACATAGAAACAAGCTTGTCTATCTACCAAATTTATATATGTTATACACAAGTATCAGATGCAGTTTTCGTGTAAAAATCTTAGATAGGCAGGTTAGTACTCTATGTTTTCCGAAGAGAAAAGTATCTCAAATATGATAAATTCCACCAGTAATGAGGAAATTTAGGAAAATGCCCTACATGTTCTTCTGCACCCTACAGTGGCTTCCATGTATGCTTTGAATCCAAATTCGTGCTGGTTTTAGATCAAGTATCATTTTAAGTTCTTAACTACCAACTATCACAATTTTACCGGTGTTCTGATTTTTACATAAAATAAGGGGCCACATCCGGCCATTACCCTACCTTGTCCTTTCATTTACCTTGTATGATGAACAATTAATACACTGCCGTTATATGATGAACAATATACACTGCCGTTATATAATTAATGAACAAAATACACTTCCCATATATGATGAAGAAAATACACTGCCCTTATATGATGAAGAGAATGCACTGCTTTTATATGATGAAGAAAATACACTGCCATTATATGATGAATAAAATACACTGCCGTTATATGAGGGACAGAATAAACTGTCCTTAAATGATGAATAAAATACATTGCCGTTATATGATGAACCAAATATACTGCCCTTATATGATGAACAGAATACATTACCTCTAAATGATTACTAAAATACATTACCGTTATATACTTAACAAAATACACTGCCCTTATATGATGTACAGAATACACTGCCATTAAACTATTAATTAAATACATTGCCGGTATGATGAACAATATAATTATACCCCCGCTCCGAAGGATAGGGGGGGGGGTATACTGTTTTACCCTTGTGTGTCTGTCTGTCTGTCTGTGTGTGTGTCTATGTGTCCGTGTGTCCGTCCGTAACAAATTTTCGTCGCAGTTTTCTCAGCAACTACTCATCCTAGATGCTTGAAATTTTAACACAATCTTCTCTGAGGCATGCCATATGGTGGGATACATTTTCGCTTAAATCTGATGTCAACTTCCTGTTTGTCTGTGCGTCTGTCCGTTTCATACATAACAAATTTTCGTCGCAGTTTTCTCATCAACTACTCATTGTAGATGCTTGAAATTTTATTACACTCTTTGTTGAGGCATGCCATATGGTGGGATTAATTTTGATATGAATCTGATGTCAACTTCATATTTTTCTGTGCATCTGCCTGTAATTTAACTTGTGTATATTAACATGATAGTGCTTATTTACATCAGAGCGGGGGTATTACTAGTGAGCATTGACTCACAGATTTCTTGTTATTTACATCGTTACTACAGACTTGCAAAAAGCGGGTGGGGTGTTTGATTATTTTAGTTTCTGTATAAATTTACATATGCATGTATGCACTATTCCTTTTCACTTAATACAGACTGGTATTTACAAGGCTCTTGCAGTAAACTGTTCAAAATAGTAATTATTGCAAATAATTTCATTTATGTGACATGTTCTTGTTTTATCATGCTATTATATAACAGTGTCTGTATTGTACATAGCTTTATACTAAGCAGCTGTTCGGTTCTTTTCATTGAACTAATTTTACCCGTTTTCCTACATCTAAATATGGGTTCAACCAATCAGCAAAGCTCTTATCCATCACGTGATCATTATTGATCCGTTTACCAAAAGAGAAAGCATGGTTTATTGAACTGCTGAATTTTTCGAATTTATACCATATTTCCTACAGGAAATCCTAAAGCTTTTGTTGTGATACCATTTTGAAGATTTCGGACGATGTGATCTGCTTGTTATTTACAGAAAAACGTCTGTAAAGTGAGTTTTTGTTACGAAATCGACCTTGTAAAGTTTACATCCGGGCATTTAGCATGCTGAGGAGTTCACAACTCAGGACGACCAAAATAATTTACATGTGATTTTTACATAGATATTCTATTACTACGAGTCGTCTGGGGAATAATATGGTCAATTGAAGTAAATTTGGTAAACGATCGATAAACAGTGTCAGTGTATCTACAGTGGTTTAAAATATGTAGTAAATAATGTCGGGCTCGAGATCCCGAAAACTCTTACATGAACTATGTCAGCTGTAAACATAGACCCTTTGCTGTAGGTCTCTGCTGTAAACAATAAGATTCAATTACATTATAGACCTGACAGTGTATAGACTTGTTCCTGGGAGGTTTTTGCAACTGGCCGTCAGTGATTCACCTACATCGTTAATCCTAACACCATGATCAAGCCTGGAGATTTTATCAATCACACCGGAAACTTCATTCCTTTAGGAACTTTTGCCTATTTACGGTGATTTGCAATTTGCTGAGCTTTGAAAATGTGCATCTATGTGATAACATCATTTTTCTTAACTGTCCATCCAAAATTTCACAAGACAGTTTTGCTTTTTACATTCACCTTGGCCGCGGAATAAGAACCTGTTTGTTACAGTGGAAACCTTTCCCTTCTTCAAGGACTTGAATGTCAGAATCATCTACACAAACCAGATATTGATGAGTGAATATAAACAGCTCAGCAGTGACGAGAGTTACCTTTTTACAAGTTATGAGATCTCCATTGATGCTGATGTAGTATTCACTTGACACTCCTGCATTCCCAGTATAAAGCAGGCCAGTATAGTATAGTTCTTCTGATGAAGTCATGTGTTATCCATTAAAATTAAGTTAGCTAGCTCATAAGTAAAGGCTCAAGTTTTTTGGTTCCTTATATAATTTTGCAATATTTTTACTAATACAGGTATCATACTTGGTAACAAATCCTGCTTTTCCTTTTTGAACAATGAATGATCTTACTCAAGTTTACTTATATGTTGTTCACGGAGCCAAAAATTTTGTTTGGAGTTAGTTGCCTATGTGATGTTGGTAAAATATTGCCATTATATGGGTACACAAATCTTATTATGTATGATTCAAATTTTCAATTGTTGAATCGAGACATAGTGTACGTGGGACCACATACACATTTATCACATAAACTGTGCAGGTCATAGGCACAGCTTGTATATATATGTAGAATGATTAACATGATTTAATGCTAATATAGTATTGTTGCTAAGGGTGCACACCATAGTTTGAGGTGACCTTTTACTGAGAATAAGTGTAGAAGTGAGGTCCACATACACTACTTATGTTTACCATGCAAACCCACCACTGATTTACACGTTATGTTGTGTTTTATGATTGTGAAGGACCATATTCACATTTATTTCACTGACACATGCACATTTATTTGGTTGACTCTTGTAGGAACATATACGCATATTTTGTGAACATGTGCAGAACAATATGCATATGTATTTTGTTGACTTGTACAAGACCATGTGCACATGTATTACCTTTTGACTCATGAAAGATTATATGCACATGCATTTTGTTGATCTTTGCAGAATTATATTCACATGTATTTTGTCGACTCATGCAGAACCATACATAATTATGCCAAATTCACATACATTTTGTTTTGTTGACTTGTACACAACCATATGCACATGTATTTTGTTGACTTAGTCACTTGTGCAGGACCATATGCACATGTATTTTGTTTTTGCTGTCTTGTGCAGGACAATATATCATTACATATGTACATGCAAGTTGTTGACTCATGAAGGTCCTTATGCACACATATTTTGGTGACTTGTGTAGGACCATATACACATGAATTTTGTTGAACTGTGCAGGGAAAAAATGTGCAGGACCAGATGCACTTGTGTTTGTTGACTTGTGTAGGACCATATACACATGTATTTTATTGGATTGTGCAGGACCATATGCACAGTAATGCACTTGTGTTTGTTGATTTGTGTAGGACCATATACACATGTATTTTATTGGATTGTGCAGGACCATATGCACATTATTGCACTTGTGTTTGTTGATCTGTGCAAGACCTTCATGGTAGTACATAATGACATACAAATTTTGTTGACTTGTGTAGGACCATATACACATGTAATATGTTGAATTGTGCAGGACCATATGCACTTGTGTTTGTTGATTTGAGCAGGACCTGCATGGTAGTAAATAATGACATACATTTTTGTTGATTGTGTAGGACCATATACACATGTGATCTGTTTTGCTGACTTGTGTAGGACCATATGCACTCATGTTTTCTTGATTTGTGCTGGACCATATGCACATGTGATGTATTTATAAGTCTTGCAGGACCTGCATGGAACTGCATAATGACATACATTTCTGTTGACTTGTGTAGGACCATATACACATATAATTTGTTGACTTGTGCTGGTCTATAGACAAATGTTTTTGGTTGTCTCAGGCATGACTATATGCACTTTTTCTGAAGTGGATCCAGAACCATAGGTATCTAAATAAAGTGTGCAGAAGTGTGTTTTGAATAACATGCATATTTGGCATTATCATGTTCTCAAGAATCAATCACATGCACAAGTTCATAATTTATAAGTTAGCAATTTATTTACAATACATATTTAAATATATATTTAAAATGTATAATAATGCATGTTTGCCCTCTTTCTTGGACATATAATGTTATAATGAGAATAATTTATGCTGCATATATGTAGACATATTCTCATGTTGGAATTTACATAACCTGTTATTCCCTGTTGATGTATTGCAGTTGTGCAATACCCAAAGTAAAATAATTATGTCATTCTCTAAGAATTTATCTTGCATGTTCTGATTGTTCCGTTGTATAGAACATGGCTTAAAATATTGATTTAGATCAGAGCACTTGATTTAAAAAAATGAATATCATATACTGGATAGTAGTTTACACTTTTATTTTCCAGAGTTACCCATCCCACCAAATTAGAAACAGACACTATCCACACTGGGTAACACTTGCAGAAGCTATATAGGCCATGTGGAAACAACAGTCAGAAATCAGATATGCATGCACAGACAACACAACAGTGGACAAACAAGTGCCCATTACCAAGGACATTGCCTCAACATAGCAAAGTATTGTGGCAACAGCCATTTTAAGTTTGGGTGGTGTATTGGTTGATGTTTCTGGGGACTGCTCTATCAACAAGTCAATTGAGTAAAATAATATCATGATCAAATGGTTTTTCACTTAATTCAATAGTTTCTGTAAAAAATATATATATCCTAATTTTGAAATAATGATTTTTATACACTTCATGTCTTTTTTTCAGTACATGAAACAAACTTTTATCAATTCTTCTGAAACAGGGGTTATAGATATGCAGCAGGGCCCAAAATTTTAATTTCCAATCACTTTAACTCAGTTAACCGATGCATTTTAAATATTGTGGTTAAAACTCAAAAAAAAAAACAAAGAACAAAAAAAAACTTTAATCTAAAAACTAACCTCATTCAGGATAAGGAGACTCATTTGAATATTTCAAAGCTTTGATCAAGATCTAGTAAACTGAAAGTCATGTCAGAGGGATCTTTACAAGTTTTATGTCAGATGGTACTAAACTACCTAAAATAAAACTTTCTAGAAATCAAAGAAGACTTAGGGTGATCCTAGGATCATTAATATATATATTTTTTAGATGGAAAAAGAAAGAAAATGGTAAAATTACAGGCCCTTTAAAAGATACACATTTTGTTGAAATCATATCTCCTATAATAGTTGTTCTACAAAATATGAAACAAAGGGTGAACACAGTTCATGAATCATCTCTATAATCAGTCTCTGTAGAGCTCAGTAGTCGTCGAGCGTGGCAATACGTTTGACAAATACAAATTACTGTAGCATAATGGTATCCTAATGAGGATTTACTGTCATGCAGGATAAAATACACGCTTATTAACCCTGCAATTTCTATTGATGATGCATTTAAGCTTATGCATACGATTGTTGTATGCAATGTTGTTTCACTAAACATGGGACCATACATGTTAAGAAAGTTGCATCACTTGGTATATGGAATATCTCGGTTAACACTGGACCATATGTGTTAAGTAGTTGCATCATGTTGTATATGGAATATTTCTCTAAACACGGGACCATACGTGTTTAGAAAGTACATGTTTTGTACATGAAATGTTTTACTAAACACAGGACCATATACATGTTTAGTAGGTTACATCATGTTGTAATAGATATTGGCTAAACACAGGACCATATGTGTTTGAATAGTTAGATCATCTTGTATATGGAATATTTCACTTAACACGGGACCATACGGGTTTAGAAAGTACATTGTGCATGGAATGTTTCACTAAACACGGGACCATACGTGTTTAGTGGGTCACATGTTGTAAATGGAAGATTGTCTTAACACGGGACCATACGTGTTAAGGAATTTATTATAGGATTAAACGTTCTTTTTGAAAAAATTATCGATGTGTAAACTCTTGACATTTTACTCACAAACTAAATAAAAGTGCGATAAAAGTATCGATGTGTAAAAATTTTCTTAAACGTGTTCTCGTCCAATCAAAACACAGGAAATCAATGGATAAAATGAAGATTGGAATTATACCACTTTGTATGTGTTATATGTCACTGAGCACGGGGCTATACGTGTTGAGGCAGTTTCATTACTTTAAATATACACAATATTTATTAATTTATTTGAAATGTCTCTTGCTGATATCAGTTACCAATAGTATGTCAGATAAGCGTTATACCATATGTATGACATTATCTGTATTTCAGATTCTGCTTATTAGCTACATTACAGCTTTTCCTTTCTTTCAAGCAGACTATTTAATTTTTCATGTTTTTGAGAGAAAACTAGCAATGTTTGTCTATATTAGAAATAAGTTATTGTAATTCACAGTTTGCTGTTCATTCTATCCAGGAAATAACATATTACCTGGTGTCTGAAAAGTGTTTACAAAACTTTTAACCATAAGAAAAGACCAGCTGGGATAGGATACAATATTTATAAATTTAAATTATGCAATAGGCTGAAAACACCTTGTGTAGTAGGGCCCAAGCCAGAAGTTGTCTGTTGGTTCCTTATACATATCCTCACAAATTCAAACCCTTAGTTTGGTAATCTGTTTTTTCTCTCGAGTGGTCAGAAGTTGTCTGCAGTTAAGAGGAACATTTTTATGCAACATGATGTAAGTTTGACATCTCGGTTGACTGGTCAGAAGTTGTCTGCAGTCATGAGACACATTTTATGCAGCATGGTGTATGTTTGACACCTTTGTTGACTGCTTCAGAAGTTAACTGTCTGCAGTCACGAGGCATATATTTATGCAGCATGGTGAATGTTTAGCAAGTTTGTTGACTGAACAAAAGTTGCCTGCAGCTAAGAGGCACTTTAATGCTGCATGGTGTTTGTTTGATACCTTTGTTGACTGGTCAGAAGTTGTCTGCAGTCAAGAGGCACATTTTGATGCAGAATGGTGTAAGTTTAACAACTTTGTTGACTGCAGCATGGTGTATATTTGATACCTTTGTTGACTGGTCAGAAGTTGTCTGCAGTCAAGAGGCACATTTTGATGTAGAATGGTGTAAGTTTAACAACTTTGTTGACTGGTCAGAAGTTGTCTGCAGTCAAGAGGCACATTTTGATGCAGAATGGTGTAAGTTTAACAACTTTGTTTACTGGTCAGAAGTTGTCTGCAGTCGACAAGGTCAGTGTTCATGATTATAAATTCCCATTTTGCTGTCTGGTTAATATTTACAACAGACAGATGTTTTGTATACTTTTTAAAATTATTTCATGTTTTGTCCTTTGTAATGTTTTCACTCAGTTTTATTGGATGTTTCTTTTTCTGTTCACAATAACTATTGTATTGTCTTTTGAAATGAGTATATGTCAATTTTTTTTTTAAATGTTTAAATGCTTTTGTATTAATTAGGGATGTCAACGAGTACCCGGTTAACCGGGTACTCGATCGAACGTCCGAGTATCGAACACTAAAATCGGTACTCGGTTACTCGGATGTATATTTTTGAATATTTCTAATCTTATTTATTAATGTATTAAACAATCTGTTTTAAAACGTAAAATGCTCATTGCACTTGTACATACAGTAATTAGGGTTTACTACGACTCTAAATGACCGTTATCGCCTGTGACAGTGTTTATACAGTAATTATCGTGACCAAGTACCTGGGGTACCTGGCTTTTCTCACCTTCGGTTGCCTTCTTCCCTTATTTTTGTTTGGCTTTAATTATTTGTTTTCACTGAACATCGTTTAAGATCCATTATGTTTTAAATTAAATAAATTAGATGAGTTTGTCAACTGTCCGAGAAGCCGTAAATTCTCGGGAAAAGAGCGGATGATATTACACGTGCGATTGTTGATATGGTTTTGTTTGATTACATGCCAATACAACTGGTTTAAGGCAAAGGCTTTAAAAAAACTGATGTCCATCGTTGCATCAAACTACAAAATACCGTCCCGTAATATTATATAAATCTCGGATCGAACAATTGTACTAAAATCGTAAATCCGCTCTGTTAGCAGAACTTGATCAAGTTCAAGTTGATACTGTACGTAGCTCTGACGACCGATACCTGGTCGTCAAACGCTACAAAGAGTTACATTACAATTACGGAGCAGATTATTTTTTTTAAACAAAAACACTGTGAACAACTTATGATTTTATTTCTTGTGTTTATCTGATAAATAAATTGATAAATAAATTGAATTTAAAAATCGTTATATTAAATTTCGTCGGGCACGAAGTGCTCATCATTATTACAATAGAAATAAATTACGGATAAGCCTCCTATCAGTGCATCTGGTTTTATTTCTACAAGTGTTTACCATGTTTTACATTTATCAATTTACTTGTTCATATTTATTTACACTTTTACCGAGTACCCGGGTACTCGATCGGAAAAACGACCGAGTAACCGAGTATTGAAAATTGGCCGATTTGACATCCCTAGTATTAATCATCCTGTGGTGGATCCAATCTCTGATTGGATTGTGGCTGTTTGTTATTTTGTTTTCCCGCCTTTTTTGATGACAGGCAGCAGTTTATAGCAAAACTTATGATGTTTATAAGGGGGTCAACTTAAAATGCATGTATATTGTACCTTGTGAAAGATTACAGGGTTTGAATTATTATTCTAGTCTGGTTGACCCCCTTTTTGCCTATGTACATCATGTTACAATGTCATTATGGTGCTGGGGGTCAGATTGTGTAATATTTTGACTAAGATGTGTAATACTCTATATTTGAGTCCTCCTTTTTCTGACCCCCATTTTGTTAACTGTGTTATACTTTTCCGTCATTTACTTTAATAAATGACATATTTCACTTCAGCATGATGTTATTTGTTTTTGCCTGTTTATCAAAAACAAGCTCAGTCGTTTGGCAGGAGAACTAAGGAACATAAAATAGTAATTATTGCAAATAATTTCATTTATGTGACATGTTCTTGTTTTATCATGCTATTATATAACAGTGTCTGTATTGTACATAGCTTTATACTGCAGCTATTCGGTTCTTTTCATTGAACTAATTTTACCCATTTTCCTACATCTAAATATGGGTTCAACCTATCAGCAAAGCTCTTATCCATCACGTGATCATTATTGATCCGTTTACCAAAAGAGAAAGCATGGTTTATTGAACTGCTGAATTTTTCGAACCCACCATCCACCTCTGCCACCAATGCTTGTTATTTCTTTCAGGTTGACGTTTTTGTTGTTTTGTTTTACCCATCTCTTTTTGATAGTGTTTGAATGAGTTTAGAAGAGATTTATAGTATTTTTTTTTTCTACCACACGTTCTAACTGAACAAGTAAACTTTTTGTACATTGTAATAAATGGCAAATCCATGTATTAGGTTACTGAGAATGAGTCCGACATTTATTTTGTGTACCTCGCAATTTTGCTTCGGTCTGCAGGTTTCCATATGATTTTTCAACATAAAGCAGTGTTGCTTTTTTATATATGGTTTTTCCTCGGCAGTGAGAGAAACATAGCTGTGTTCAATTTAATGCCTGCGCGATTGTATTATTGGCTGTTTGTTATTTTGTTTTCCCACCTTTTTTGATGACAGGCAGCAGTTTATAGCATTTTGTATATGTCTTCCAAACTTATGATGTTTATAAGGGGGTCAACTTAAAATGCATGTATATTGTACCTTGTGAAAGATTACAGGGTTTGAATTATTATTCTAGTCTGGTTGACCCCCTTTTTGCCTATGTACATCATGTTACAATGTCATTATGGTGCTGGGGGTCAGATTGTGTAATATTTTGACTAAGATGTGTAATACTCTATATTTGAGTCCTCCTTTTTCTGACCCCCATTTTGTTAACTGTGTTATACTTTTCCGTCATTTACTTTAATAAATGACATATTTCACTTCAGCATGATGTTATTTGTTTTTGCCTGTTTATCAAAAAACAAGCTCAGTCGTTTGGCAGGAGAACTAAGGAACATAAATAATATTTTCAATAAATGATACAAACATATGCGCTGTTTTTTTTTCATCAGTTCATAAAAATCAAGATATACAACACGTGTGATACTCAATAAGTATTTTACGTCAGGAAGTATATAAATACGTGTGACAAAATCCTCTTTACTGCATTCAAGAGTGGGAAGAGAATCATTTTATGAAAGGATCTAAAGGTAACTACTCTTTTGTAATAATTTAAATTATTTTTTTATTGTAACTTGAGCAGCTTAATATTCTATTTTTCCCTCAAGTTATACTTTTTGGAAGAGACAAAAGCCTTGAAAAATTGCTGATACATGTATCCAATGCATTGTTCATATTTTTGCTTTGAATACAAGTTAAAATACTGAATATAGAAATGTTTGTGTACAGTTTCTACCTGTAATATAAGCAAATCGATTTGGATAACAAATGGAATATGGTTTAACTCGTACTTAAAACAGTTGTTTACTCTAAATTTATCCTTGTTACATGTAAATGAATTAAAAGTTTATTATATATATTTTTTACTTAATAGCAGCGTGATAAAATTGTTACGGTGTAAAATACAACATTTTTGGACTTATTTTAAATTACCGTGTAAATTAACTTTTCGGACTTTGTGTAAATTGTTGTCAAAACTTTTCTTTTATTTCGGCAAATGTGATAAATTATATAAATTCCGCACAGCCTTAATCCCACCTGAGGCAGAGTCAGAGATGGACATGCAGTTAATCCCTTAATTGACATCTGTTTATATTTATTGACACTTAATCTTTCATCTTTAATTCTATTATACACATGCTGCTAAAATGTCACCATTCACTCAATAATTGTTTGATACTTGATTTCTATATACCTTTTGTTAATCCTTTTATTTTACTCTGTCTTTGTTCAGTATGTATGATTTGTTGTGAAAACTTATAGTCAGTTGGAATCAGACCTTCGGTGCTGATAGTTCCCAAGCTCATGTAAAAGTATATTCTTTGCTGATTCTATATAAAAGTAACAAATTAGTAACTCGTGTTTGTGTCTTGAGGTTTAAAAGAATCTGGGTTCAACAATAAGAGGAAAGCTCACGGTTGAACCAGAATCAGTGTAGACGGACGAAATTCATCCCGTAAAACTTGGTGTGAGAAACCTAAGGGTAATGACACCCGGGGCTGCTACATATACTTTGTAGTAGTCAGATCCTGGACCTCTACAAGAGCTAAAAAGCGAGTTTCCCCAGTATTGTCAGTTCAGATACAGATGAAGCAGACGTTTTAGGATCAGCAATGGAGTATTCTTTCCGACCGCCGTGGAGACAGAAAAAGTTTAACTTCCCTTCGTGTCAGCATCCAGTGTGCGGAAGGTGTGGAAATGTGCATCCAAACGTTTCATGTTTTGCAATTCACCAGAAGTGCTACCGATGCCACAGAATGGGACATTATTCAAGGATATGTTTTACACAGATTAAGAAAACGGAGCCAAAACCTGTGAATAAAGGACCAGTCCCAAGCAAAAGGAAATTGCGCGACATGAAACGACTGAGCAAGTTTCTCGAAAACAAGCGAGTTTTGCGAGAACTACCATTCAATTCTGTTAGAGACAGCCAGTTTCGATTATATTGTGATACTTCTTCTAATTTGCGAACTGAGCTAAAACATCTGAAAAAGCAACTCCACATGTGTAAAGAACAGGGGAGAAGTATGGCAGTAAAGTTAAAAACAGCCGAGTCAGAAATCAAAAAGTTGCAAAACGACAACAGAGAAATGGAAAATAAGTTAAAACAACAGACAAATAACTCCAAAGAAATGTTATATCTAAAGACAATTCAAAAATTAAAAGAAGACGCCCAGGCTGACAAAGTCCTTATGGACTTAATGCAGAAGAAATTGAACGACATCGGAAAGGACTATAGTCAGTACATGATGAAAATTCAAGAGGACGCTGAGAAGACAGCCAAACAATTGAGGGGACAAAACAACGCCCTGCTGCAGACGATTGAAGAACTGAAGGATGAAAGAGATGATCTAGAATCCATCATTTTAGAAAAACAACGTCCTTTTCAATCCCGGAGATGTCAAGGAAAACCAAGAAGAGGCCGGTTTTATTGAGAAAAAAAATCAAAACACGAGGACGTGTTTTACGCGAATGCGGAGCATGTGTTACGGTGTAAAATACAACATTTTTGGACTTATTTTAAATTACCGTGTAAATTAACTTTTCGGACTTTGTGTAAATTGTTGTCAAAACTTTTCTTTTATTTCGGCAAATGTGATAAATTATATAAATTCCGCACAGCCTTAATCCCACCTGAGGCAGAGTCAGAGATGGACATGCAGTTAATCCCTTAATTGACATCTGTTTATATTTATTGACACTTAATCTTTCATCTTTAATTCTATTATACACATGCTGCTAAAATGTCACCATTCACTCAATAATTGTTTGATACTTGATTTCTATATACCTTTTGTTAATCCTTTTATTTTACTCTGTCTTTGTTCAGTATGTATGATTTGTTGTGAAAACTTATAGTCAGTTGGAATCAGACCTTCGGTGCTGATAGTTCCCAAGCTCATGTAAAAGTATATTCTTTGCTGATTCTATATAAAAGTAACAAATTAGTAACTCGTGTTTGTGTCTTGAGGTTTAAAAGAATCTGGGTTCAACAATAAGAGGAAAGCTCACGGTTGAACCAGAATCAGTGTAGACGGACGAAATTCATCCCGTAAAAAAATCACTAAAATGTCATGTGGAGGTCATTCCACCTTCTTCAGATTTGGCTGTCTATTCCTCCTCATGGCTCTTATACTGGACGTTATAGGTGTAGCTGCGCCATATTGGATCTATGGCGAGGCTAATGGCTTGAAAGTATATGCAGGACTCTGGAAACAGTGTCTTTCCGCCAATACCCCTGACCTAAAAATTTCCAAATGCACTGAGTATGGCGATGTCCCAGGTAACAATTAATTAAAAGTAATAAATAAGTAATATATTATGTAATTTAATTCTGTTTGTGAAGTGCCATTTGACTGGATAAAGAATTTACTATAGTCTATATCGTATAACCTGGGTTGCCTATATCACAATGCCTTACGTCAAAAACGTTACATTATAAAAAACATGTATGTACAATTTAAAGGCATTCTTGATTTGGGAATTGTTATATTTTTTACACTTAACAATGAAAATTATATTTAATTAATGACTTAACAGCTATCCAAGTTATACTCGCATAACCTGGGTTGGAACATTTTACGGTTTTACATAAACCGCTTCTGAACTTAGATAGCTATTCTTGTTTTCTTGTTTTAGATTGGTTTAAATCAGTTCGAGCATCTGGACTGCTTGGGATTTTTATTTCGGTCATTGCTCTTATTTCTGCCATCCTCAAGATACGTTTCAAGGACCGAGTCTTCGTGCTAATCATTGTGATCATCTTGTCCTTTTTGAGTGGTATATGTACTGTAGAATATATATTGACATTAATGAAAACACAGCTCTTTTTTTACGTAGACATTTTAATTAAGTTTTATGAGTTTTTTCTGTAAGGATAATAGTCATATATAATTTAAGCCTAATATGAAATCTGCTATTTGTGATACATGATAATCCTGCTGCCTTCATATCTAAACTTATGGAAATAGCTCAGATTTATTAAAACAAACGAAATTAAAGATTTCTGCAGGTATAGCGGTATACTTTAAAATGTTTTCTTTCAGCTGTGTGCACCATGGTGTCCATTGCTGTTTACGCAGGAAAATATCATGCATCGGAAAAATACAGCAGTTTTGTCAAATTCAGCTTTGCATTTGCTTTTTGTGCAGTTTCCATCGTTCTCTCGGCCATAGCTGGAATTTGCATGATTATTGAATTGTCAAAGAGGTCATCTTACACTACAATAGTTGGGCGCTGAGAAAACACCAATTTAGGACTGCCGTAATGAAAAAAAATACTCAATGTTTTACATATATGAGGACTGTCCAAAAAGTCTATTACAATGTTCATAACGTTATAAACATTCAACAAATTCATTCAATACAATCAAATTTGGCATGACCATAACAAATTCAATATGTTCCTGATAATAGGGAATTCTAATGGACATACGCAATTTTAATGCCTTTTTCCCTGGAGTTGAAAAGTTCCAATATCTAAGGAAACTGTCTGCTACATTTCATTGTCCATATGATTATGTATGTTAATTATAATTATGGATTCATTCTATCTATTCCCACTTTTTGAAAATCATGTAGAAAAAGGTAAGATTTTATATGAGAATATGTGTAATTTTGTGTAAACAAATAATTAACTATGTTCTTAAATTTAGGTATTAAGTTGCTTTTTCTTGTAAGATCTTTTAATTATTTCAAAAATCTGAGATAAATCATATTTTCTCATAGATGTATTCATTATTTTCTGTCTTAAAATGTACAAAATACAGGTAAATCTAAACATCTACAGTTATTTGCAAGTGGGAATAGGTGGAATTGAGATTTTTAAAAAGTGGGAATAGCTAGAAGACACCTAATTATGTACACTTCCTCTAAACCAAGTTTGGATAAACAAAACATCTACAATATATGTGTAGTAATTTTTGAATATTTTTCAAAAAGTTATTCCAATGAGTGATATCTCTTATTCAAATTCTAGAAAGTGATATCACTTAATTCATATGAATTGGTGATATCACTTATTCCAATAAGTGATATCACCTTTTCAAAAGGAATAGGTCATATAACCTATTCGAACAAGTGATATCACCTATTCGAATAAGTGATATCACTCATTCGAATAGGTAATTATATCAAATATTCGAATAGGTGATATCACCTATTCAAAATCGGATTCGGTGAAATCACTTATTCGAATAGGTGATATCACCGATTGAATAGGATTCGAATACAATGTAGGTGGTATCACCGAATTGAATAGGTGATATCACCTATTTGAATAAGTTATATCACTTTTTGGCAGTAAAATTTACCGAAACGGTATCTTATAAATTATGAACATTATGGGCCATGATCGACGTCAAACTTCGTATAATTTCTGCTTATACTTCAAAGTCAGGCGACCTTTTGACGAAGGAAATTTGCAAAGGATAGAGAAATTATGAACAGTAGTAAATTTAAAGAGTTTTAAGTCAAGAGTGGTTAGTAAATTTTCAAAATCAATAAGATCCTTTCAAACTCGAATTCATTATAATAAAATGTTTTATTTAACAATTTATAATTCAGTCAAATGCTGACTGATGTTTTTCATACTAATTGTCAGTCCATTATTTAAACGCTGAATTGACAACGGATTTTCCCGTCATTTCCCGAACATGACAAGGAGCAAACGGTGCGTGTGACCAGTCGATAAGGGATGCTCACTCCTCCATGACACCTGATCCAATCTCTGATGTTTAGGAGGTCCATGTTTGCTCTGCTCCTATTTTGTATTTTTTTGTGGACTTTTGAGCTTGAATACTGTTCGTTATCTCCATATATTTCATTACTATGACAAGAAAAGAAATTTAAGTGAGCAAGATGAAAATAAATTATATTCTCTGTCTACGATATTTTGGGACAACCCTCGTTAAAATGTATTATTTTTAAAGAGCTGTTTTTTTTTCTCAGAAAAACAAATGATAATATCTTTTAAGCTTAAATAGAGTGCGGAATGCATTTTTCCCAGTGTTTACCTATATATAATAAACATAATGACTGATCACAAAGTATGCGCAGACAACCATATACCATATTCATTTGAACAAAAGAAATATTTATAAGTATATAGGAGTCTCCAAAATCAAATCAAATAATTGAGATAAAGGTAACATTTATTTACAATGAGTAACGATAAATATTATACATCAGTTTTTAAGATGAAATTTTGTTGCTCATTTTTATAGCATTAAAGCATATTGTTGAAGCCTAAGGGCTATTGTTATAATTACTGTATGGTTAATTACCTGATTGTATGATACAAGCACCTCTAATAATTATTTCCTTATATGTTTTATTTATTGCATTTCAATTCAAATTACAAGCATGTCCTTAAACAAAAGCGGAAATATTGAAATATTGAATAAGTGAATATTAACCAAGAAAATCCTTATTAATTAAATTAGAAAAAATTTAAAGCAGGCTTCATTGTTTTCCGTATTCAAGTACGAAACCAAATAGAGTATGGGAGTAGTTATCTCAATGCCAAATCAAACTTTTTGATAATTGCGAAAACAGGCATGAATAAATATATAAAACACAAAATAGAAATTTTAAAAAGCAAAAAGAGTACCAAGCCAACATCCATGCTGTTTACAGGATGTGTGTTGTTATACAAGGATTGAAGCTTATTTTAACCTGTTATACGATATAACATAACTTTGGACAGTTTACGCTTTATTATAAAAAGTGTTTTAAATTTACCCAAGTTATGTTATATCGTTAAACATGGTTAAAATAAGCTTCATTCCTTATAATTTGCTTCAACTTGAGCATACTGTAAAACTAACGTCACGAGGAATAATACATTTAGACAACTCATTATGATGTATGCAACATGTTATACCATATAAACTAATTTTTATTTCCAATCAAATGACGCATTACAACTAAAATTAAATTATTCCCATAACAAAAGCATAACCGTAATTAGAGTTTCAAATTCTAAATGCTTAGAACAAAAGAAATAATATAAAAGCCTAATACTAAGAACATGTTTAAATTATTTAGGTACTGAAATGCATTTCTCAGCATTTGCCATACTTAATCTGGATTAATTTTGATGTTGACCAAAAAAAAAAAAAAAATAAAAAAAAAAAAAATAAACTGCGTTCACAATGCGCCAATTTTCATCTCTATCAGTGAATTGTCGCCTAGCTTTGACGTTAGAGAAGTATTTCGCGGAAAACCGATTAAGTTAATATCCTATCGCCTTATAAATACAATTTGAATTTCGACTCTTAAATTTCGATCGGAATATGCATCCTACAACATTTGTTGAATTCATTTTTATAATAAGAAAGATAATCATTAACTTATAATTATGTTTCGTTAAATTACGCTTTTTTACAACATACAATAAGTCTTTTTTGAGCAACAATTAGCAAGTGAGACAGAAACAAACGTTATAAATGTAAAAATGTTCTGACAATACTTTTTATGTTTCTTTTATGGCTTAAACAATTTATTTTAGTCGCCCGAGTGGCCCAGTGTTTAAAGCGTCTGCCCTCGAATCGCAAATTTAAGTGTTGACAGACGTTTTTATACTAATTGTTAGTCTTTTTACTCCTTTATTTATACTCTGAATTGGCGCGGGAATTTTCCTTTATCTCCCGATCATGACAAGGAGCACACGGCGGGTGTGAATGGTCGGCAGGGGATGCTCACTCCTCCATGCCACCTGATCTCATTTCTAATGTTCTGGAGGTCCGTGTTTGTTCTGCTCTTATTTTGTATAGTGTTATGGACTTTGATATTGAAGACTGTTCGTTATCTCCATGTCCTTCATCCTTACGTCGCAGATTCGAATTCCACTGTGGAACCTTGAGACCGGTCATCCGGATGAGACCTTATAAACCGAGGTTCTGTGTCGCAGTATATCTTGGCACTAAAAAGATCCTTCCCTGTTCAATGACCGCAAGAGCCGAGAATAGGACAAAAATTGCAGCTCTCCATCGGCAAGTGGTGGCGTCTACATACATTGTATGAGTGAAAAATTCAACATACAAACAATCCCTTTGACTGCTGTTAATACAAGTGTTTCTTTCCTGTCACTCGTTATACTATTGATGACCAATAATAATATATATGTCCTTCTGTTTAGTAACTTGAATTTAACCACCGAGGTTTTAAGAAAAGGCATATCCAGTTTTAAATAAAAGGACTTTAATCGGAAGTTCATTTAGGTGAGTAACCCTTTTGAACATGGTCCTATGTTTGGTTTCATAATAAACTTAAATTTTAATTTTTTCTTTCTTATTTTTGTTTGTTAGTTTGTTTGCAGAACATAAGAACTCCAATTTTACAAAAGGAAGTAAGTTTGTAAGTTAATTCTTTCTAATGTATATACCTTAATTAGAAAGTTGACTTATTATAGACGATACGTTATATAAATACAGTAAACAATCATTGTTTATATTTGTTAAAATGCTGTGAATGTTTGGAAATATGAGACTAATTATAGTTTGTTTACTTTTACATCTGCCAAAACAAGCTTCATTTTAAAAATAAGCATGCCTTTAAACATTATTATAGACATGCAATCATCAGGTAGGAAAAAAATTGTAAGAAAATTGTACAGTAGTGTACTTGTAGTTACACATACTTCCCTTTTATTGGAAGTTTAATAAATTTATGACAAACGTTAAATTATTCTTAATTTGTCTGAACTGTTCAGTTTGTAGTTTTAATATAATAAATAATTAATTATATCTTAAGACACTGCATGCAGACTTATAATACATTTTTAGTGAAATTTATATATATATCGTATATACTCAAGAGAGGTGAAAAAGAGCTAATTCAAACAATAATGCACAATGCATTTCAGATCACTGTTGTGTTTGGCTCCATCCCTATCCTCTTGCCCCTATCTTATTCAGTAACTATAAACTGATTTCCTGTGAAACTTCTATCCCAGTTTGTTTGATAGCTGACAGGAAACAGTATTAAACAAACTCTTTGTGGCCAAGAATGTTATAAAAATGATTTCAATTAAGTTCCAAAAAACTTAATTCTATTTTCTATGTGAAATAGAAAACTTTTAACTTAAAATCAAATCAATTTATAAAGTGATTCAACTTGAAATTGAGCCATATTTGACAACGATTGCATTATTATTTGTTGTTTAACGTCCCTTTCGAGAATTTTCACTCATATAGAAAAGCCATTATATACTGGTGAATAAACTTCAATTTTAGACCTTTAATCCTCACTCAGGCCATTGAGCAATGAGGGATATTGCGTCGGGCCTCGGGTTTAAAGGCCTCTTCCGAAGGACCCTCAACATATAATACTTCAAAGTGCCGTTCTGTTGGCAAACGAGAAATTGTTGTCTTTTTTTCGACTATGTTCAAAAGTAAATCCTGCTGACAACCCGTTTCCCACTTAACCTTCCAATTACCAATAAAGGAATTGGTGCGGTTTGTATAAATAATTCACCTGCGATTTTATCATTTTTCGAAATCATTGATGGACATGATGTATTGTACCATTGAAGTTTCTCCATCACCCCTGTTAATGTCTTTAAGGAGTACATGTAACGGAAGAGGCTTGGTGGAACATTTACATTTACATGTAATAGAACTAGACATTTTTTCTGTGTCTGTAAGAATTTTTATAATGTTTAGAAATAAAATTAACTTTAATTGTTTGGAATATTGAAAATATTTTATAACTGACCTATTGTTTTGAAGAAATTCAATAGGAGCTACCTGTTTACATGCATTATTGGATTTGCGCTGTAATACCCGGTATATTACGTTTATTTTTTTTATGAAATGAGTAATACATTTCGTTTTCATTTCTTTTTAGACGAGAATATGGAGCGTCCGGCAGTCTTGCTCATTGCATTGGTGATATTAATTTGCGCAGTCATCCTTCAGTTATTCGGCCTAGCCTCACCATATTGGATTTCTAACGAGAATTCAATAGATCCAGAAAAAGATTCAGCAACGTACGCTGGTTTGTGGAAAATGTGTACATGTAAAGATACTGGCGATTACCTACAGAATGATATAGGTGAGCAGACAAATGAATGCCGTACCGTTTCATGTTATTTTATTACCTAATTATATTTATCTTCATTTTACTTAAACAAAGATTGAATTTTTATTTGCAGATATCTCAAACAGCCAGTTGCGCACTAAATCTTCTCAAACTATGAGTATCCTGGGCTTCGTTGCACTCATGTTTGCTTCAGGGTTGACAATCTTAAAGTTATGTTTTCTTAAGCATATGAAACCACTACTAATTGTGTCCAGTATTTCAGCTTTTGTTGGAGGTATGTAATATTCATGGAATTTTTAAGGAATAAATTTATTCCAAAACACAATGATTGACACTGTATTATACTATTGCAATAATTATCAATTAATGATTTATTTTCAGGTCTCAATTAAGTAGAATACCGGTGTATAAAAATATTCTATTCAACATTTGAAAAAAAAGGATACACTCATCCACAATATACAAGAATCATGAACCGACAAAACTCATTGATGACTAGTAAAATGCAATGACCAAATATCTTTATAAATACATTTAAGAATCTCTCATTTTTACCTCTCAATTCAGTCGTATAGAAGTTGTAAAAATTCTCAGGGGCAAAGCCCAATGGATATAATTGTCCTTTTCTTGTTGTCGCTGAAAGAGTTTTTTTTTTTTTTAAAGAACTTTTGATACAAAATTTATCCTGTATAGAGGATCAATAAATTTCACTAAGAACTGAGCTGCAGATCTGTGGCTCGCTAGAAAAAACGACAGAAAACTACGTACAGTGCCATCCTTAGAACTTACTGTTCATTTAATTGTCACTTTAAAAAAGTTATGTTCGGCTCTTGATTACTTTCTTCAAATTTTTACTTAAACTACACGAAAGCTACACGTTCTACATAGCTACGTTGTACTTAGTTTAACTAGCAACAAATAATTCGTAACAATTAAGTCACAACAAACAAGTTATGATAAAATGACTCATAACAAGTACATGTAAGTCAATGTCCTTCCAGGGCCTCCGTACGCTTTAGATCGAATTATCTTGCTATCCAAAATGGGAGCAATAATGGCAGTATGAATTAGCAAAGTTTTCTATGGTTTCCATTTTAAATCTAGGAGGGCTATTAACAATAATTATAGCGAACTTTTGTTGTGGAAATAGTTAAATATTATGTTAGGATCACATCCTTAGTAATACTTGTTTTTTTAATTTGCAGTTTGAAAAAAACATGGATACAGTGTAAATATTATTAAATCGATAAACGGCGCACTTTTGATATATATATATATATATATATATATATATATATATATATATATATATATATATATATATATATATATATATATATATATATATATATATAATATAAAAATTTTTTTTGAAAAGGTGGCATTGTACCTCTCCGGTCTGTAATTATATTTTTTCAGAGATCTACAGTTCTGCAGATACCAAGAAAAGTATCCATAAATGAAATTTTAAATGTCTTTATTTTTTCATTGCAGCTTTCTTCATTGCAGTTTCCATTCTACTGTTTGCAGCTGACGTCAATAATGCGAAACTACTATACAGATATGAATTTCATTTTGCTTTTGCCTTCTCCATTCTGGCAATGATAATAGCTTTTATGTCTGGGGGTTTTATGATCCTAGAAATACCAAAGTAAGCTACACAAGAAATCCAAGAAACAGATCAAGAAATAAAGTGATTTCCTGAATATACAAGCTTCTTCTTTTGTCTAAAAATGATGGCGTGTTTGAACAGTTATATTTGTAATATCTAAATAAATTCGTGAAATTTTAGAAAATCTATTTTAGTTATGCCGTACGGCAGTTTTTTTCTTTTAATGTTTTGAATGTGAACTTGAGAAAAGGATGTGTTAGAGTACTCAATTATTATATTTGCACAAGTGCTCCTACATGTAAATATATATTGACACTACATCCATATTAGATTTTATTAATGTAAGCCTTTTTTGACTGCCCCTTTTCATAAAAGATAATAAAGTCATGTTAATACCCCCCGCTTGAAAAGTGGGAAGGTATACTGTAATCGGTATGTCCGTCCGTCCGTACGTCTGTCCTCTGTCTGTTACGCTTTGGGGTACCAATCTATTATCCGCAACTCCTCTTATACCACTGAGTGAAATTTCATGAAACTTTCACGGAATCTTTAGTACATATTGCCATTGTGCACCTCCTATTTTACTTTTTGATCCGACACATATTTGGGGTTTCCCGGCCACAGAAAAACATGGACTTTGCCATCATAACCATATGGGAGGTGGGGGTATCATTTAGTGAGCTTATTGCTCACAGAACGATCTTAAGGAGGCTTGGGGTTTAACACATTAACCATTAGATATAACGTATTTTTTCCGACATGATATCTTAAGCAGTCAATTATCATTTGGCAAAGAAAAATATCATACATTTTAGTTTCAAAATTTGTACATTTTTGTTAATCTTATATGGACCTCTTCTTCTAAAGGAGATCAAAATAGTCTGAAAATGGCTAAAACCACCCAGCCCTCTTAATTTGTAAATAACATTCATGTTGTGATTTAATTTTATTATATGTTGAAACTTTAACATAAGCTGATTATATGCTGATACTTAAACAAAATATATACATTGACTGTGTTTGAGGGTATTATGCGTTTTATCGGAACTAAGAATCAAACTATTTACCTGAGGCCGTTACAGTTTGGATCGAGGGGTCGACAAATGCATGTTGCCCGAGAACACAGTCTATAAATGATTTGTTGATTTAAAATTTCTCAGGTTTTAAGGAGGTTCGTTCCTGTTATCAAAAGTATTGAATTTTTTTTTGTCGAGTATATTTTTAGAATCTACTTTACATCTATTAGCTTAAGAATAAATCACAAAATGGGGGTCTGTGCACTTCTTTTAGCACTAGCGAGCAATTAATATGTTTTAATTGCACTATAATTACGTCTAATACGTAAATCAATTTTTCAAAATCTTTCTTTTTAAATTATTATCTAAATTAATGATTGGATCAAACACGGTCTTTTTTTAAATCTGAAATAGTCATATTAAAAATTGTCACAACAAAAATAGTTTCAAATTTTTGGCAAAATCAATAAATTGAACTTTCTGCACCCAAAAAATGTTATTATACCCCCGCTTGAAAAGTTGGAGGGTATATAGTAATCGTGATGACCGTCTGTACGTCCGTCCGTCTGTTAGAATTTGGGTATTCTTATCTGCTACTCCTCTCATACCACTAAATGAAAGAAGATGGGGGGGGGATAGGGCGGACGAAGTGCCTATAGTGCGACAGATAAGAAATGAAAAATTTAATCTCAATTATATCCTAATTTTATTTGATATTTCAACTAATATTAAAGTATACTTCATGTAAAATCTCTACAATTTACAAAAGTCTCACAGAGACTGAAAATATTTGCCCATGAAAAAGCATACAAACACTAAAAAGAACAAAATCGATCATTTTCTAATACTTTAAGAAAATTTTTCAACATGAGTGGGTCTTCGCTCCATTTTTTTTTTTTTTGAAAGATAATCCTAAAAGTTTGCGATAAAATATACATTTTTTGGTTTACAAAAACATGGAGCGAAAACCTTTCATACCTTAAAAGTACACTTTTATGACAAAGTATTCGCATCTTTCCGAGAAATAATTTAAGTCCATTAAATCAAGGGTCTTATAACAAAAATGATTTAAATGCCTAAAATCAGCATGAGCCATGTAGCATACATGTGGTAAGCATGTTAGTCCCAACGCAGTTTGATGCGTCGGACTATCATTGCTTAGGGTTTGAGTCCCACGAATACCACTTAATATTTTTTATAAATTCCTGTGTTTGTCAGTTTGGTGAATCCAGGGCTCCCCAACCTTGGCGCCATTCATGTAATCATATACTGCTGGGGCAATAAAAAGAATATTTTTATAAAGGAGAAATTTTTACGAGATTTTTTTTCTTTCAGAAAAGTTTTTTTTCCTCATAATTTTATAAATTTCAATAATGAGAAGCTAATTTAATTACTCAGTTTACATTTTGAATATGATTTCTTAATATCAGACGCTATAGGCATTCTGCCCGCCTTGTTCACCAATCTTTTTTTATGAAACTTTCACAGAATCTTTATTACATATTGCCATTGTGCACTTCCTTTCCAATATATATTTTACTTTTTGATTCGACACATACATGTATTTTGGATTTCCAATTATAGTAAAACATGGACACTGCCATCATAATCATATTGGAGGCGGGGTATCATTTAGTGAGGTCATTGCTCACACTACCTCTAGTTTTTTTTCCGGTGTTAAAAATTTAAAAAGCAACAACAGCATTTGAAAGTAATGATACTTTTTTTATTTCAAGCAGAATGGTAATTCAGAAAATGAAATAAAAAGTGGGGGCTGTAATGTTAATTTTTAGATTTTACTAAAATAGTGCTATTGTTAAGCTTAATTGGGCAATTTCTGTCTTTTGGACTTTCACAATATATTTGATATATTTGCCACATATAATGGTAGAATTCATGAAAGTTAATGTAATATATATAATTTAAGACCAGCATAGAACATTTCACTGCAAAAATTACTCTGTATACAGACTGCATGTAAAAATGAGAATCAACGCTTAACAATACTGAATACTTTGAAAGAGAAAAAAATGGAACTTTTTCTTCTAAAACTCCTTCCGCCACAAAATATAGTTCCTTACAAAATGTTTTTTTATTGTGTGGAGTTTAAAAATGGGGTTTAAATTGAATATAGTTTAATTAACATTAGAGAATCCAAACTTATTATAAGAACTAAAACAGTACGTTTTTTTTTAAAATAAAGGTCAAAACAAAAATCTGCAGAAACCTTGTTAACATACATGTGTATTGAGCTTGCTTCCACAATGTATATTTCCTTTACCCCAGTTAGGTTTAACTTAGTTGCGTCACTTTCAAACGCCAACGTACAAAGAGATTTATTATATGCTGATATTTTCAAACTGTATGCTAATACTTCAACACTATGTGCTGATTCTTAGACATTATATACGGATACTTTGACATTATGTGCGGATACTTTGCCATTATACTGTGAGTATACTATAATGAAATGGTTTTTTTAAAGATAGGTCAAACTTTGAAACTATGAAACGAAATTTGCCCAAAACGCGTGTAACTGAACGAGGAAAAAACTAATAAAGGCATATCCTAGCTGAACTGATATTTTTAAAGCTATAATAGTAGCAAAGCATGATTCTTCGATTTCATGCTTGATCCTGCTTAGAGACATATTCTTACTGGTAATGAGATATTTTTTGCCAAAGTCGTATTTTTCTCAGACATCAAAATTCAAAAGCTCTCATAGATTTATTGAAAGAAAATCAAATCCGATTGAATCAGATAGGTTGTTTGGCGCATTAGTGCGTTTCTGACATTTTATCAGCAAAACAGCTCTACCTGGTCGGAAAAATGCATTTAGATTTATCGTTTACCTTCAAAATACATTTCTTTAGGTTACTTTACAGAAAACTAAAGTAAAGGTTGTATTTTAACGAATGAATAAATTAATTGTGCAATGTGACCCCTCAAAAGGACACATATTTCACTCAAACATCCAACTGAAAACAAAACTTATGTTGTGTTTCCTTATTAGTGGATTTCTTCTGGCCAAAGAACTTTTGATTTAGCCATTCCCTTCACTAAACAACTTTCTATAAATCTGAAAATGTGCATATCGCTTTCCAAAAAAAAAAAAAAAAAAAAAAAAAAAAAAAAAAGGGAAGGTAAAAATGACATAAACTTTTTATAGCACTTTTATTAAGTTTTCCTACATCTAAAGTTGTATATGTTTCATGATTAATAACTTTTTATAGCACTTTTATTAAGTTTTTCTACATCTACAGCTGTATATGTTTCATGATTAATACAATCTTTCTTTTTGCATGCAAACATTGAGACAATTATCCGATTCATTCTTTTTCCAATTGTTTAAACGGTAAGGTGTAGCTTCATAAAAATCATTTGAAGTCAGAGGATGTACAACTACAAAGCTAAGACTACAGTGCTCAGCATTTGACTCAATGATAAATTGTATTTGCTGACAAGGTCATTGTATCGACCGTAGAACTCAAGAAATGATGACTTTAAACGAGACTGTTAACATTCTTGTTTCATCAACTTATCTGTCAATAATTTACCTCGTCTTAGAAATTGTTCATACGTAGAACATGCTCTTGCATATCGAATCAACTGAGATGTATAAACTCCGTATGCAGGTGATGAAGGTATATTGCTGCATAAGTAATGGATCGGAAGTGGACGATAAAAAAGATAAAGTCATCACGTTTATCAAAGAGCTTGGTTGTTAGATTACCATTAACGTCTTTTAAGGGGGGACCTATGTCGTTCTACGTCAAAACAGCGTTATGTGACGTCACAATAGCGACGTTTCTTTTACCTGTTGACTTTTGCAGCTGTGATATAGGCATACCATTGTAATAATAATCAATAACGTACACCATTTACAAAAAGAAAATTTATTCATTATTAATACCAATTTTATTTGATTTATGAAATTTGTTAATATTAGAATTCTCTTCCTTTGGTTGATAATTCATAGCCATTTCAGTTGTGAAGAAATACTTCGATGATATGCTGATATATAAGTGCAAAAGATAAGAAAAAAATCAGCAAAAAAGCGGCTTAAATCATGGAAATATGTTTAATTTTATGTTTACCATTAATTGTATTTTCTGGATAAAACTAAGAAAAATAAAAAAAATGTACTTATACCTATATTTGCTTATTGAT